CATCTTTCCTTCCTTTCTTATTGTTTTACAATGTTGTTAATGTGCACAGATGAACACTATAGAGGTCTTCAGATTTCAGTTTTTCGTATGAGTGATGAGTTTAACAGCCACAGATGTTAAACCTCTGAGTAGGCTGTTGATCAACTGCATTGATCTTGCATTTAGTCGGTGCACATGAACACAAAATATTGGTGCTTCCTTCTATCATTTCAGTGATTACCTATCCAGACATGTTCCTGAAGTGTTTGTGTTGCAGAAAGTAAGAAGTAGGACCAGAACCATATCCACTTCAGGATTAAGCACTGTATTGACAAAGTTATTGTTTTTAACCCTGTTATTGTCAGTTTAGAAGGCAGTCCAGAACCAACACCAGCTGTTGATGAATACGTGTTTATAACATACAGCAGGCAAAGGGAAACAAAAGCCTTTAGCAATGTGCAGTCCGTATGAGTATAGTATGCAGTAATGTATGTAAACTAACAATTTATAAGTACACAAAAGTGTCCTATTTTTCACTTGTGAAATTTTAGAGTTGTGTACCACTGAAAGAGATGAGGAAACGTATGGTGTGTCTAAGAAGCGTCAGACAGACTTGCTAAAAGTAATGGTGGTACGGAAGAAGAGCTTATTTAGGTATCTCAAAGCATTTTAGTTGAGTTAAATGAGGTTCCAAGTCCATAAAGTATGTCACACTCTTAAGGTGCAATCCTATGCAGGTTTAAACAGAAATAAGGCCCTTCTGTCTAAAGTCAAAGGCAGAAGAAGAAAAGGAAGTCCAAACATGAGATGGACTGAATCCGTAAGGGAAGTCACAGCCTTGAACTTAGAAGAGCTGAGTGGGGCTGCCGCAGACATGGACATTTCAAAGGGCTTGCATTCATGGGCTCACCATAAATCAGAGTCAACTTGATGGCAAATAACAACAAACTTGCATAGCTTAAAACTGATACACATGCACATATGCACAAAACCTCCCCACTTCCTCAAACTTTATCCCATTTTAGCCAATAATAAATTCTTCTTATGTTATAATTTGCCTATTTGTTATTGCAATTTGACCAACACTCTACTCTTGATTTGCAAAATCCTTTATAGAGTCTTCTGACAGTGGCACAATCCAGGGCATCACACACAGATCAGAAAGTGTGGGGTCACTGCTAGACAGGTTACATCTGCACCTGGGCCAGTATGGATCAGAACCCGGGGAGCTGATACTGCTTGTTGCAGGATAAGAAACTGTTCCTGCTCAGAGTATTACCTTAAAAAGCTCGGGATTAGAAAAAAGCTTTCTTTTTATTAAGAATATAGAAGAGGTAACTGTAAAGCATGAAATGGCCATGTGTCAGGGGAGAAATGTCAGTTGATTACTCCACAACTGAACGAATGTGCATGGCCATCTAAGGCATGGGGGGGGGGGGGGGAGACCGTCCAAATGTCCCTGGCTGCACCACTTGCTTTGAGAGTCCTGAGGTTTCTGATCAGGCGTGCCACAGATGGCTGTTAGTCTTACTTAGAGTAGACCCACTGACAATGAATGGCTCTTTAGTGCTGGCTATATCCCAACGGGTATGGCTGACGACGCACACCGAAGGATGGGAGACGGAGGGAGGAATATTTGCTAGGGTGCGGAATAAGGGCCCTTCGGCGAGGGGCCGGAGGGAGGAAAGAAGCGATTCTCCTCACCGTGGGGTCCCGGAACGACGAGCCTGGCAGGAGGGGCAGCCCTTGCACCGGCTGGGAAGCCATGGCGGAAGATGACGGCTTCGCTTTCGCGCGGAACTAAGCAACCTCGTTCCCCTGGTAACTGCCCACACGCCGCACGCGGCGAGAGGGCGCTCCTGCGCATGCGTAGTAGGTAACGAGGCGCGTTCCCTGCTCCCGCCTCATTCTTGGGGTGTTCTGCGCAGTCTCGCAAAAGGGGGCTCGGGCTGCTCGGTGGGTCGGAGGCTGCCTCTTTCGCTACATCGCGACTGCGGTGGTAAGCAAGCGCATGAGGAGCAACGTGACTGTGGCAAGCAACGGCCGCTCTAACCCTCACGCCCTGACTTCACTTACCCTGATTGAGGAAGGGCATAATCATTAACAAATAGTTGTTATTGTGTTTTAGGTCAGTTTAGGTCGCTTTCATGTATGTGGGGTCCACTTTGGTGTGGGTTTGGTTATTTAGTATAACCCCCATGCCCATCAACTGAAGCCTGGTACAAAAGACATTTGGATTTTTTAAAGAATGTTTTGAATAGCAATACTTCCTTACAAAAAATCAGTACTGATTATTTCAACCTCTCAATTTCAGCAAAATAATTTAGGGTGACCTGGGTCCGGCAGGTTGTTTTGTTGCTCTTTTTGAACTTTCGGGACTCGGAGAGCTTTCCCTTCTGCCCACCTCTTTTAAGCAAGACAAGTTGTTGGGGCAATGATCAGCCTTGCAGTCATCTTCTTATAAGGATGTAAGTCTGCTTAATTTAATGTACTGTAGTACACACTTCTGGTGCAGGAGACGTCCATATTCTCTGGGGAAGTGTTCCACGATTATTTTTATCTAAATATCTCATTTTCTGTTGTTTTTCTTGCATGGGACTTTCACGATACCGTATATCTCACTGCTACTTTTGTCTTTCAGATCCAGTGAAATTCAGATACTTGTTCACAATTGCCTCTTTGAAAGTTGTCACATCATTTTAGAGATCTTCTGTGACTGTTTATTGACTGATACGTTGTAGAGCATTAAAATTTGTTGCAAGTTTCCTAAAAGTGAACAAATTAAAACAGGGTAATAATTCAGAAATCTGTGTGCTTCACTGTATCAAATACATTGTGCTGACTTGAGAATCTCAAAAGCTTGGATGGAGCAGGAGTGATTTCTTTCAGGTGTCCCTTGACCATGTCCAAGGAAAAGAAGTCATTGTACTGCTTTCTAGAGCATGAAGTTGAGCAAAAAATTCTTCCAGTGCATAAAATGGGTAGGGACTATGTGGCCCTCCAGATGTTGTTGGACTGCAGCTCCTATCAGCCCTAATCAGCATAGCCAGCCAATGTGAGGGATGGTAGGGGCTGCAGTCCAAAAACATCCAAAGGGCTACACATTTTTCATTCCTGAGTTAGTGGAAGTGAGTGAAAGGCCAAAACAGCCACAAATATTGCAGTTGGTCTGAGCAAGGATTGATACGGAAAGAGCAAGGTGGATTGGAAGTTGGTTCTAAAACTTGAACGAAAGTTTAACAGAAGTGAATGGGACAGCCTTCTAAGTAATCTACCTACAGGTGTTATCCTGATGCCTTTTAGATTTCTACAATAGTTATGTTCTTTAAGCTGTTCAAATAAGGTAGGTTACGTCTAACAATGGCCTGCAGAAGTATTCACCACTCTCCTATGATTTTGATGGGGAGCAAAATGGGGATGGGAGCAACTTCCAAGTCTTGCCACAGAATTTGTCTGATTGAGGTCTGGGCTTTGACTGACCCATTGTAAGACATTCAGATTCTAGCTGTGTTTAGGGTCATTGTCCTACTGGAAGATTCCCCTAGTCTCAGGTTTTTTGCAGACTGAAACAGTTTTAACTCTAGAACTACCCTGACCAGTTTCCCAGTCCCTGCCGAGGAAAAGCATCCCCACAAAATGTTGTCACACCATGTTGACAGTGTTCTGCAGGCAATGAACATTGTTGGCTGTGCCATAGTTTTACACAAAGGGTAAACAATTCAGAGAATTTTTTCCCATGTTTGCTGTATCTCCCACATCTCATTCCAAACAGACTCTGATATGGGTTTGTTTCTTACTACTCTTCCATAAACCTCACCTTTGTGGAATGTCTGATAGTTGTCATATGGATGGTTTTTCCATCTCTCCAGGTCCTTCAGAGTTACCACTGCCCTCTTAGTTGCTTCTCCAACCAATACCCTCCTTACCTGGTCACTGAGTTTTGGTGGACAGCCTTCTCTATGCAGTTGTATTTGAGCTATATTCTTTCCATTCGGTAACAGGTTTAATGGTCCTCCTGAGGGTGCTCCTTATTCAGGATAGTTTTAGCCCAATCCTGATTGTTGCTTTTGCACTTTATTCCAAAGTGGATTCAATAGCTCCTTGGTCTTCATTGATGCTGTTTGTTTACTGTAATCTGCAGAAATGCTCTCTAACAAACTCTGGGGCCTTCCAGAAACAGTATTTAATCAGGTATCATGGGGACTGAAATTGGACACCATCCAACTGCTTGTGGCGCATGACTTCTGGAGGGAGTGGGTTGTGCTACAATTTATTTAGGCATGTCACATCAAATGACATGAATGCTTACAAAATCAACAAGTGTCATTTTTTAGCTTACTTTTGTGTCTCAATAAAATAATTTACACCTTCATAATACTCAGTAGCTTGCATTCATCAACTGGTGATAAGGCCAATTAAATCCATTTCAAAATGTGGAAAAGTCAAAGGGTGGATACCTCTACAAGGCTCTCTAAGAATGTAAATACCACTAATCTGAGTATGTACCCTTCCAAATTTTGCTGTACTTGGCCTGTCCTGTGTGAAATGAATAGTTACTCCTCTCTACTGTCTGAAGTTGGTGACTGGTGTCTACTGCTTGTACTACTTACTACTAGCACTTGCAGTATAAATGGCACTATGCAGAGTGACATCAGCAAAACCATGCCCATACCAGGAGAAATTTTAAGTTTATAACTAGGATAAAGGCTTTTACAGAGGCTATTCTTTACTCCAAACCTTACAAGACACATTTTCAAAAGTGTGCAGTTTAACAGATTTCACATCAAACACCAAAGTTTTGGAATTCCTTGACTTTTACTTATTTCCTCCAATCTCCAACAGTTAATACAGTACAAATTTTGAATGTTCTCAATAATACAGACTTTGGGAGATATACATGGAGAGGTTATCTATGCAAAATAACAACCAACACTCCCTCTTTGTTGAAGAAAATATAAAATTCCACCATTCACTTTTAGTAGCAAATTTCTTAAAATATTTTTTAAAAATCAGTATTTGTAAGGAGTAAGTTCTCAAGGCACACCAGGAACCTCCATCAACAAGTGTTCTTGTTGCTAAAGTGGAGCACTGGAAATATGTATGAGGTGCATGATAACTGCCTTCAGAATAACATAAACACAGCTGAAATGCACCACCATGTATAAGGCATGAAGCCTGCAGAAAGCCAAGTATGTGTTTGCTCTAACTTACTAGTTCTTTGGAAACAAGTTTGGAAGTGTGAAAGTGGACTGTACATATTACTGCATTCTCAGCAGTTATCAGTCATCCCAGAACTGCCAACTTCTGCATAATAAAGTCAGCAAAATTTCTGATGTCTGGTCTCCTGATCTTTCAATGCAGCTCATCATCTTGGCTACTTGTGATGACAGACTCCCACATAAACACATCTGTTTTGAGTAACTTTCCTTGCAGATGTGCAGAACGAACAACAAAGGATTTTGGGAGGTATCTGGAGTGCACTTGGCCAAAGATGATCTCAAGATTGAGACAGGACCCCATTACAATGAAGGTCCTGCTTCACAAAGTGCTCTTTCCTACCTGCTCATACTTATGTTCACAGATGTCCACCGCAAACCTTTCAGTGCATTAAATGGGACTACATTATCATTTTAATACCAGCTTTTTGGCAACCGAGTGGCAAGTATGTGGTATAAATTCAACTAATGACTGCTAGAGGAACCATGTAATTTATGAAGCCATAGAGAACTAGATAGTAACAACATTAATATATACTTAGAGTGGAAAACTAATTTTAGATAAGTATTTTTTAAAATAAGTGAACTTCTTACTGAATGAAAAGAAAATCTGTATTTTAAAATCTAAGGTATTAGAAAATAATTATTTTACTATACCACTAGGTGGTGATATGAAGTCACTGAGAATATTCATACAGCCCATCAGTTTAGAACGATGAACATATCCATTCCCCTGTTGTGTAACTCCAACATCAAAGTTCATGTGTTCTTTTCTCTGGACAGTTAGTGTAAACCTCTTGCAGCAGCTTAACTGACTGCATTTAACTTCATGCTAATACTTCAAATAATATTAGGCACATCATTGAAGAACTCTCTTATATTAATGACCACCACTCTGGCCTGTACTTGCTTCAGAAGTATTGTACTAAATGCTCTTCTACTTGCATAAGCCAAATGAAATTTCAGCAAAATTTATGAATAGGTACCTGAACGACAGCAGCTGCCTTTACTAAGATCTGTGCATCATTAAGAAAGAAGTGGAAAACATAGGTAACAAAATTCTACGTCAGACTGCAAGGGGGGGGTTGGTCATCATTATCTGGAATGCTCACCCATGGAAAAGCATCCCTGCATGTCAACTAGCACATCAGCATAAACTACCATACCAGAGATACAAGTTTAGCAAATCCCATTCAATTACATGGCAGTCACACATACTGATGTATCTTTTATATCGACATTCAGAGTAAGACACCCCATAGTCACTCTTTGAATAATTACCCCTCTTTACAATCTAGGCATATGTGTTGTGCTTGACACTGTGTAAAGCAATGGCACGGCAGAAAACAGCATGATGCTGAAAGTAGAGCCCATGAGTTGTCAAACTGGAATTTTGCTGGAAATTTTGAATATGCCTTCCAATGTTTTATTCTGAGCCATACACAGACCAACATTTCAGCTTCATGGTATAGTACATTTCTGAAGTTGTCCTTTATAACTTGAGTCTGAATGACAAGCCTCATTAACTGACAGACTATGCAGAAAACTTACACAGGGAAGAAGGGCAGAGTTTATACTGGAAACTATAGTCAAGATAAGAGGAAAACTGTATGTCATGCTCTTTTACTACAAACAAAGGAAACTCAGTCCCCATGGACACTGAGCTCTGCCTCACCTGGCCTAGGCCAAAAAGCCACTGGATTACAGTTAGATTTGTTCACCTGCCATTTGTTCAAACTGCTCTAACAAAAGAACCTTTCCTTATCTCATAACCAATTTCCAAGAAGCTTCTATTTGTTTAAATTTTCATGAATGCATCCAGTGCTTAATTTTTGCATATTTCCATGTTGAGAAAGCTGGAATTCTGCTTTGATACATGACAAGGTGCTGTTTTCAGAAAGAAGGAACTGGAATAAATCTAAATTCTGAAGAAGCTGAGCCTAAAATATTCAGAGCAGTTAAGGCTATGACTGAGGTGAGGCTGTGGGCAGGTGGAATGTTTTCTAAACCATCACTAAAACAAGGATCTGTCAAACTCACTTCAGCCTTGTTTCACCCAAGCTGTCACAAAACTCCACTGTAGTCCAAATATCTATCTCATTATAGCTGGACCTAAACATTCAGAATTTGGTGGAAGAATGGACTGTACCCATTAGTCTGTATGTTGGGGTTATATTTTTGAATGTGACCTATGTTTAAAAAAAGCTCTGCAAGTATTGAACTTGAAGGAAGAAGCTAGGCTGACCTATGCCATATACCGGGGGGGGGGGGGAGGAGGAGGGAAAACATTCAGATGTTTTATCTTCCAAATGCAATCTAAGGTGTATTTTCTAATAATGTAAAACCTCGGGACATCATTCTGATGCAAAAGTATTTCCAGAATATTTGTTCTGCTCTCCCTCAAGAATTGGAATAGATTTCCCTTCTTTTCCTTTTCTTTTGGATAGTACAAACCATTCTATCCAGCTTATCCAATTCTGAAAAGCCACACAGGTCCAGTAGCTCAGCCCATGCCTATGAGCAGACAAAATGGAAAGCAATTCAATCCACAGAAACTGCTGTCTCCACAACTCTCCAATTCAATGTTGTATCTTCATTGAGTAATGCAAAGAAGTTCCCATACGTCATGACATTTACTTTTTAGTAATTAGGACTAATTTAGATATGCTTTCCTAAAGAGTGCAGTTATTGACATTTTCACTCAGAGGGCAAAATGACCTATACCAGTGAGGAATAAGTAAAACCAATGTGGTGGAGCAGTAGGGTACCAGGACAAAGCCCTGCAAAATGGACTGTTCACCAGGCCAGCAACTTTTCCCCCACCCCTTGCTCTATCTCCCCGGATCTTTTTTCCTGAAATTTTCCTTGCATCCTGGTTCTCTCCTCCTGTCCAAAGCTGAAGACTTCCTGAAGCACACAGAGAGGCTGCCGTATCACCTGCTGCAATTAGGAGAAAAGAATATGGCTCCACCATTGCTCAACACACCTTTGCTGTTTCAGGAAACAAGTGGGAGGGAGAAGAGACCACTGGCAGTTTAGTGTGTTTTACTTGAAGGAAAAAGCTTCATCTTAGTGAAGCTTTTTCCTGAAATTTTCCTTGCATCCTGGTTCTCTCCTCCTGTCCAAAGCTGAAGACTTCCTGAAGCACACAGAGAGGCTGCCGTATCACCTGCTGCAATTAGGAGAAAAGAATATGGCTCCACCATTGCTCAACACACCTTTGCTGTTTCAGGAAACAAGTGGGAGGGAGAAGAGACCACTGGCAGTTTAGTGTGTTTTACTTGAAGGAAAAAGCTTCATCTTAGTGAAGCAAAAGACACTTAGAATGACTTATTGCCTCCTGAAAAGAAGTTGTACATTCGCAAAACCCTAATCAGAATTGATCTAAAAAGTTTACTGAGACCAAATAATACTCCTATTTGTACCGGCCGTTCTATCAACATGTAATACAGTGTATCTCTGAAACTTACAGATCAGAGAGAGGATCAAGCCAAGTGGGTGGGTGGGTGGTATAAAAGGCCATGAACAGATAAAATGGAACAGACCAAATTAGGTAATTTCCCTGAAGGCTGCCAATCTTCACCATATTCCTGAGTCTTTGAACTAATTCCACCTGAGATTGTAAGCCTCTGTTAGGATGTACCATTTCAGATTTTAAGTGAGGATGCAAAAGATTAAATCTCCTCCCTGCAAACTGAAAGCCAGAATGTCACGGACAAGCATTCAAGCCTAGCCTTCTCCATACGCAGAGATTTTCCTCTCCTTTGATACTCAATTTGCTGAACCCCACTCTGTTTTCTGAAGGAATACAACCCAGGCATATCTCAGTGAGAGTTAGGCCTTTGTAAATGAATGATTCCATAGTCCTTTCTATCCCTCTTCAGATGATTCCTCCTTCTCCTGCTCCCGTGCACGTATATATATATTTATACACACACATTTTCAGCACAGAACATTTAGAAAAATTTAAAAATTATCTTCAGTTAGGTGTTTTAAATGCCCTTCGCCCAGCAATGGGTGCACTTAGATTAAAAAAAAAAATTAGAACTAAAGGTAGTTAAAAAAGTAGTTCCAGCCTTCAATAGGCTCCTTTGTTATAATTATTTAGGCAAGCCATTTTGTTAATTTAATATACAGTATTTAGATGTAGTTCTCCTTTGCTGCTTCTTTTTCAGCAGCCTGGGCTTACGCCCTGCTCCATGTCAGTCTCTCAGGATTCCTTTATACTCAGCTCCACCTTGATCTTGCGCTGTAAGAGGTGTGCAGTGACAGCGCTGCATGCCACTAAGCCAAAGAAGGAGACACAAGACAGGATGATGGAGAGGGATCCATGCCGCTTGAGGAAAATATCTTGCCTGTTCTTATAATCCAGGAAGATGGCTTCCAATTGCGAGAGGGTGCAGATGGCCAGGAAGGTATGGAATATCTGGTGGGCGTGGCCAACGATATCACAGGAACCTGGGAAATATTTCTCGGGGACTGGGCAGGAGAAGAAATATGCACTGACTAGGAAGAAAAGTATCTGAAAGGTGTGGTACCAAGCAGCCATCTCCTCACAGCCTTCGAGGTGGCACATGATCACACGATGTGCCACAGGACTGATATCCAGAATGAACGCCAGCCCTGCTGGGATCACCTGGCATACTTTCCTCATGATGGGGTAAGGGCGCCGATAACGGTATTTGGCATAGCAGCAGCCAGCACAGGACAGCCACCCACAGAAAGCAGCAGCGGGCAGGAAGAACAGCCAAAACTTGTCATACCAGGCCTGATCGGAGCTGTAGTAGAAATGGGCCAGGGCGCTTCCATATTGGTATATGCTGACCCCAACGTAGTCCACAAAGTAGAAGGTATAGTGTGACATCTCTGACTTGGACTGTAAGAGGTGCGCCAAGAGGCTGCAGGTTAGATACGTTACAGAGGAGAGAACAAAGATGAAGAGAGGCAAAGTTTGTACCTCCAAAGACAGCTCTTCTGCCTCAGCAAAAATGTTGAATCTCAGCAGCACAGCCAAGGCTGCCAGCAGGTGGGTCCAGACATTAACAACCTCATTGTGCTTTTGGAAGAGACTGAGGAAATAGTAACGCCAGCCTTGACCAGTGGGGCGATACCCAGCTTGGATATATGGCTCCCGAAAAAGCTGGGGCACATCAGATTCTTTGACTGTAGAAGGCATCTTGGGGAAGCCATCTTCTAGGAGCTTAGGGAGTCGGCGGAGTTGCTGTCCACTGATGGACAAGGTGCTGAGCCGCTCTAAGATGGCCGTCATCATGCTAAGTGTTTAGCAACAGCATGCAGATGATCCCTATGGGGATAACACAGAAAACAAGATATTAGAAAACTGGAAAAAAATGGTAGCAATGGCATTATCATCTGTACAAGCCTTAGATAAGCCTTACCCTGTCTCTGTATACTCCAAAGTGGAGCAGGTCTGAAAAGTGGGGAGGGAAAGAGGCAGTGGTGGCAGCAGTGATGATCTGACTGAATTTGGTTTTTCAGGAGTTGCACATCTGCCTAGCCTGAATCCAAGGTGTTCACCTTCACAATGAAATGTGGCAGGGGCTCAAGCTAATAAGCACACAAGTCTGGGTCTGAACCTATGTGAAGGGAAGCAGTCTGAAATAGCCCAAACACCTGGGATTGTTAGGAAGTTGAAGGTTGCCTCCCTTGCTCCCTATGCAAAACACCCAGAGACCTCACCAGACTCTCAACCCAACCTACCTCACAGGGTTGTTTTTGCTGTGGAGATAAGATTGAGCAGAGAATTGTGTAAGCTGCCTTGAATTCCTTGAAAGGAAAAGAGGTGGGATATAAACACAGAAACACAGAAACAGAGGGAGTCAAAAGGGGCCTCCCAGACCATCTAGTCTGCTACAGCTACCCCCAGCTACAGCTGGCTCCGCTCACAAGATGCCCACCATGTGCATGTCCAGCCTATCTTTGAACACCCTCACCGATGGGCCTCAATGACCTCTTGTGGAAGCCCATTCCTCACCCTCGGGGTCCTAACTGTCAGGAAGTGCTTCCTGGCATCTAAATTGAACCTTGGCTCCCTGAGCTTTGCTCCGTTGGAGCGCGTCCTGCCTTCCTCTGCAGGGGAGAACAGCTCTCTACCCACCTCCGTGTGACACCCCCTCACATACCTGTACGTCACCAACAGATTCCCCTCCGAGTCTCCTCTTCTCCAGGCTGAAGAGACCCAGTTCCCTCAGTCTCGCCTCATACGGCATCCCCTGCAAACCGGCCACCAACCTTGTGGCCCTACGCCGCACTGACTCTAACCTGGCTATATCCTTCCTGTAATGAGGGGCCCAAAACTGAACACAATGCTCCAGTTGTGGGCACACCAGAGTCGTATAGAGTGGTAGTAATACCTCTTTCAATCTAGAAGTCACACTTCTGACTATGCAACCAAGGGTGGCGTTCGCCCTCTTGACCACCGAGTCACACTGCTGACTCATGTTTAGCCTGCAGTCAACCAGCACCCCGAGATCCCTTTCACAAGTGCTGCTCTCTAGCCACTTGTCCCCTAACCTGTACTTATGACACCCATTCCTATGCCCCAAGTGCAAGACCTTGCACTTATTCACATTGAACCCCATCCTGTTGTCTCCTGCCCACTTCCATAGTCTGTCCAGATCCTTTTGGATCTGGAGTACCTGCTCCTCAGTTGTGGCCACTGCCCCAGTTTTAGTGTCATCTGCGAATTTGATCAGCAGACTGTTCACCCCTTCTTCCATGTCATTGATGAAAAGATTAAACAGGATTGGCCCCAGGACAGAGCCCTGGGGGGCCCTGCTTGTCACTAGCCACCATCCTGATGATTCCCCATGCCCTAATCCATGGGACAGTGCTTTGGTCTATCCCAAAACTCCTCAGTTTCTCCCCCAGGATATCATGGGGCACTTTGTCAAAGGCCGTGCTGAAATCCAGGTATACCACATCCACTGCATCCCCTCCATCTAGCCACATTGAAACCTTGTCATAGAATTCCACAAGGTTTGTCTGGCAGGACCTGTTTTTGCGGAAGCCATGTTGTGTTGCCGCCAGCCTCCCTTCCCTATCTAGCATCAATACATCTCTCGCTATTATGAGCCTTTCAATGTTTTTCCTACAATGGATGTAAGGCTAACTGGTCTGTAATTCGCCATGTCCCTTCTACCCTTTTTAAAAATTGGGACCATTGACGCCACCCTCCAATCCTCTGGAACTTCACCCATTCACCACAAGGCCTCAAAAATGGAGGGCAGGGGGTGGGGACAGAGCTAGCTTGGAATGGATTCCGGACGCTAAAAAATTTCACTCCTCCTGATCATCGACAAAAACATGATTAAAATATACTCAAATTAAGATTAAGAAACACTGGGTAAATGCATAAAACGGAAGTCAATTGCTTTGTTTATCTCCTGGGAAGATTTGAAACACAGATGTGGACTAAGAGTTTTTTTTCGTGATTTGAAACTGCTGGGCCTAACCCAGAGTAAGCTGTATTTCAACAGTTTACAGATTGAGAAACAGCGTTTATGTTATAAATACTCCGGCCACTTGTTATAATAAGCTTAAAAACAGCTAGGGAAGTGGCGATAAAAGAGGCTGCTTTCTTGAAAGATTTTTCTTTTATATTATGTTTTTGATAAAAAGGAACTCTCCTCTCTCCCCCCGGGCAGCTGGAAGGCCGAGAGAGTGCCGAAACCAAAAACATTTGGACAGAGCTGTAAAGAATGCAGATCAAAGCTAATTAGCATCCCAAGACTAACTCTTTTGCTGAGTTGTTTATATTACAAGAAAATAATAAGCAATAAATAAATAAACAAAAAAGTATGATAGACCAGATAAATTACATAAAGGAATTGCTGAGCTCCCTCTGCTGGCTAATTGTTAAATTGCAGCTGCTGATTTATTTATTGGTTGAAAGTGTAATTCAATGGTGGACTACAAATAAGATCATTAAATTCAAGAGCTCTCTCCTCTTAGCTGGAAATAATAGTTGCAGACAGTATGTCCAAGTGCAGTAAAAGTGCAGAAAATGTGAGATCTCAATCTCGAGAACCAGTTTGGCAAAGACCCAGGGCGAAACAAGATCCTTCTCACAAACCTCATCCATCAGATTTGCGTCTGAAAAGAGTGGAGATGAGTGGAAATGGGAAAAAGAGAGCATCACTGGAAAAATCGACTACATTAACACAATCGGATAGTTTTAATACACTTTTACAAGAAATAAGAGAAATGAAGACACAGGTGATGTCAGGTGTTATTGATGTGAAAGAAGAGATGAAGGAAATAGATGTTAAAATAGACAACATGGAAGAATAAAAGAATTAGTTAAACAAAACCAAGAGAATCATCAAATAATTATAGAAGTGAAAGCTCAGGTAAAAGAACAAGATAAAGAGCTAAAAAAAAGATGACCAAGATAGACCAGGTCTCTAAAGGCATGATTGAGATTCGAGATAGACAACGAAGATCGAATCTATACCTTAAAGAATATCCAGAGGGTGGGAAAGAGAATGAAGATAAATTGATCCAATCAATATTGGATTGGGCGAAATCTATTCTTCCGGACATCTCTTTTACAAGATATGATATCGATGGAATACAGAGAGTTGGCCCAAGAAGACTGGGAAGAAAAATACCGAGAGACATTGTGGTTATATGCACAACCATTTGGTCACATGCAAAAAAAGAACAACTGATGTGGAAATTATGGAATATGACATCAGTTATGCTGGGAGGTCATCAGATTCAAGTCTTTCCTGATCTATATAATGAGACTTTGTAATGGAGAAGAGATATGTCTCTATTCTGTCAAATATTGCAAAAGAATTCCATAAAATATAGTTGGGGGTTCCCGATTTTTATGAAATTTGCATATAATGGAAAATATTATAGAGTGGATACAAAGGAGGAAGCACTGGAATTATTGAAGATGCTCAGAATTATCCTTGATGAAGAATACGTGGCACAAATGAAAAAGTTAAAGGACATATCCACATTTTCAAGAAGCAAGACAGAGAAGGGAAGAAGAGATAGTGAGAAGTTAAGCATAGCAGCAGGAGGTTCATCCTCTCCATCGAGGCAGAAAGAAGAGGAGATCCAGAAGAAGAGGAGACTTAGAAGAAGGTTGAAAAGATAAGAAGATTTATATGTAATAGATATAGAATATATTGTATTTGTTAGTGTTGAAATTATTACTGAAATATAAGAGAATTTTGAGTATAGAATAAAAGGGTATAGATGACTGGGGAGGGTGGAATGGGTGTCTGGGGTCTATGAAGGGAAGGCTCCTCTCCACCCTCCCTGCTTGGAAGCCCAAAGCAGCGGGGAGGAGAGAATCTCCTGAAGATGGACAAGGGGGCTTTTATACACAACTGTGGTGAGGAATATGGTGGGGGTAGGGATGAGTTGATTTTGGTGTTTATTTTATCACATATGGAGACAAAAATATTTAATGTATTGAAAGAATGGGAAAAACACTGAAGATTGTGTCTTGGAATGTAAATGGCTTGGGAGAAAGACATAAACAAGCCAGAATTAGAAATCTTTAAATAAAGAAAAAGCAGATACTCTATTTTTACAAGAAATGCATCAAAAGAAAGATGGGGTAAATGAACTAAAATTATATTGGGCAGACATATACGAAAAATCATATAGTAGTTCAAAAGCAAAAAGTGCTGCAATTATTCTTGCCAAAAGATGTGAATTTAAAATAATAGCTATAAAAAAGGATCATTTGGGGAGATTATTTATAATACAAGATCTGATGCATGGACAAGAGGTGACTTTAGCTAATATACGAGGGGTGTTCAATATATTCTTGGTATTGGGTTGATTTGCTATTGATGTGGGTAATTTAATTATTTCATCAGCTAATGACACTATCTGAGAGTATACATGCAAAATTTCAAATAAATGTGATCATTCGTTCCCTAGTAATCTTCAGTGAAAGATGACCATGATGACTGATGCAACAATGTTGAAGAAAATCGAGCACCGCGCTGTGATTAAGTTCCTTACAAAACAAGGAAAAAGTCAAAAAATCATTCACAAAGAGATGGTGGCCGTTTACCAGGACTCTGCACCTTCATTATCTACTGTTCAAAAGTGGTCAAGTGAATTTAAAAGGGGCAGAGAAAGCATTGAAGACGACCCTTGCTCGGGCGGGCCGGTTACTGCCACTACGAAAGAAAATGTGAAAAAAATTGAGAAACTTGTATTGGAAGATGCCCAAATAAAAATCAAAATGTTAGCAGAGATGACGCACCTATCCGTTGG